GATTAGAAAGAAAATCTGGTTTGATTCTAAATTTGACTGATTTACTTCCTAATCATAGGAAGTCTTTTAAGAAGAGTTTTGTGATTTCTATTTTTGGCAAAGTTTGAGTCATAGTAGGAGTCATGTTTATTTTCTATTTAAATAGAGTATTGTAAGCCTTAAAAGCATAACATTTTTATCAATGAAATTCCTCTTTAATATTATATTCATTGATTCAAAGTTCTTCGTAGATTTGGAGATCGTTCTTTCTGGATTCAGAGAACACACATTGATGGATTCCAAGGTTTTTACTTCCGCTACGTTATAAAAATGATGCACGTTCTATCTTTTGTTAAGCAGTCGTGAGAATATTTCTCATAATATTCCCACGTTCTTGCCATATTGTACTAACTATCATCTAACCTCGTTGATTGTATTGGTTACAATTTTATCTACCTCTTTCTTCTTATTAAATACCATTCATCCTCTTTTTTGTTTCTTCTTCTTATTTAGTTCCCAAGCTTTGCAATCTCTTTTATTTTTAGAAAAAGAAGGCTACATGATTTCAGATCTCCACCTTATTTATGATTGTAAATTAATCTCTTTGATCACTTCCAACAATCCCCGAACCAAGATCTCTCTTAAATTTGTGAAACTGTGGCTTCATAAGAGATTTGGGAGAGAGATTTTTAGAGATTATGTAAAGAAACAATAAAAAGTAGGAGGTTTTTAACTTGGGGGGGGGGTTATTTTTAGAGAAGGGTAAATCTCTTGCTTACATGTAAAATTTAATGTTGTTTAATAAATTCACACAACAAACAATTTACAACATTTGTTATGCTTTGTATTGTAAGGTAATAAGTGTCTTTTTAAATAGTAGGGTATTTTAAGTGCAATTTAGCCAAAATAATATTAGAATAATTAAATAAACCAAATATCAAAGAGAGAACAATCAACTACAAAACAATTTTTTTTTTCATTAGCACTAAAAGTAGATGGTTTTTAATGAAAGAATAGAACCTTAAAAAATAATATAGAATCAACTAAACCAAAATACCATTTGTAAAAAAAACTAAATTAAACGTAAGAGAGAACAATCAACAACATAACAATAAGATTTTGGATTAGCATATAATTAGATGGCTCTCAAATTCAAGAATAAGTACCTTTATTTAAAACAATCAACTAAAAGAAAAAAGTTTCCGAGATTATCTTCTCTTCTTTGGTGTTGAAACAATGGATCTATCAAATATAAAACATAAAATGGAGATGAGTTAGCTTGGAATAAATAGAGACAACTTATAAAATATTTGTTAATTATCTTATGAATGGAGAATTCAATTTACTACCTTTTTATGAGAAACTTTGAATATAGAACAGGTTCTTTTTCAACCCAGTATGGACCAGAGGAGCTAAATTCAAAACACATATAAATTTTGAGAAGATTTAGGAGAAGTAATTTTAAAACCGATGAAGATTTGGGAGACTAATTTCTCAATATGAAGATTCGTGGGATTACTATCAAAATATGAAAATTTTGGGGGCTATCAAAAAAGCGTAAACTATGACTAAACAATTTGATTTATTTTCTTAAACTAAAAAAGTGCAATTATAAAAAAATGAATCTTATAAGTATTATATAAAGATAAATCAGAATCTTATAAGTATTATGTAAAGATAAATCAAACACCTGCTTTAACCTCTATTAAAGCACAATTTGGCTATTTTCTGTCAAGTGTAACAACTATTTTCCATACAATATAGATAGAAATAAATCACACCAAGAGATAAAGTGACACTAAGGGGTATTTGTTTCACTCTTTTTATAGAATAGGAATAAGAATTGGATTTGACAGTGGCAAAACTATAAATAAAGGATTCTAAATGTATCATATTCCTAAGTTTGGTTCATAACAATTTTATAGATTTCAAAATCTATAAAGTTAGAAAAGATGATGGTTTTTATGGAAACCCAAATCCAATGGATTTAGGTGGAATTGGGTAAAAAAGCTGACACCACCCACTTTATTTCTCTTTCTCTTTGTTTTTTGGAATCCGCCGTACCACAAACCCTAGATTGGATTTCGGCCTTCTCCCGCTAATCTTTTCCCGCCTTTTCTTAATCCTCTTCGCGCCTCTTCTCAAACTGTTCTTCAATTTTTTTCAAAGACGAGGATTAGGATCGAGCTCTATTGTCAGTTGTTGGCTTTGATTTTTGTTGGTTTAGGGTTCTGTTTACAGTTTCAATTACGAGCTTTGAGTTGGCTTCGGTGGGTTTATTACTTCGGTGGGTTGCTGTCAGTTGGTTAGGGTTCTATTTACAGCTTTGATCTTGAGCTTTTTTGATCAATTACGATCTTCGATTTTGATCGTTGATGCCCAGCTGAGTTAGCTTTGTTGCTGCGGTTGGTTGTTGTCAGTTGGTTGCTTAAGTTTTTAGCTTCGATCTTTAGCTCCTTTCTTCAATTTTGAGCTTTGCTTTCGAGGTTTGGTCCCAAAAATTTCTCAGTTGGTTGCTTTGGTTTGTTGCTTTGGTTTTTAGCCTTGAATTAACCTCTTAGCAGTTGAAGGTATAAATCTATAACTCATTTTAAAAAAATTTAATATATGATCATGGATGGTTATTTGTCATAGTTGATTTTGTAGTGGATGTTTGATAATTTAGAGCTTCATTGCTTCGGTTATTTGTTATAGTTGATCATGGATAGTTATAAATTGGTTATTTAATATATGAATTAGTAATTTTGTTTTAATTTTATTTTAAGATTGCAATATATGAATTAGTTGTTTCATTACGCAAATAGATTAGTGATATGAATTAGTTGTTTCATTACGCAAATAGATTAGTGGATATTTAGATATTTTGTTTTAAGATTTTAATATATGTATTAGTTATTTATTTTTTTTTAAATCTTGAATAAGTGGAAATATTAAGTTCTAAATGTATGCTAATTTTACAATGGATATAGATGGATAACGTAGATGAAGAATAATTAAAGAGGATGTGTGCTAATACAACTGTTTCTTTCGTGGTCACGATAATAACTTGTCTTCTGAGAACGTGTGCTAAGCGCAAGACAATTTCTATTTGTTGATTTCAGTTGATAGAGCTTGTGATGCTCATTCTTTGTTTTATTGGTTTTGGTTGATAAATTGCTGGAGCTTGGGTTGCTCTTATTTAGTTTTCTTAGTTTAAGTTTATTATATGTTGGAGCTTGTGATGCTCCATAGTTGATATTTGGCAATGATGATTAGCGTTTACTGGTAATACAATCTAACTTATAGCGTTTATTATGTTCAGATGAGGCAATATGTGATGAGATTGCATCCTACATTAAAATGACAATGTCTGGGTGAGACAATCCATCATTAGAATGCAATCTACAATAAGCCTGTAAGTTATTTATTTCCTTGGTTGCTTATTTCTCTTCCTTCATGAGCCCATTCAAAAAAGTTACATTCTTTATTTGAGTATTTTGCACACCCCCAATAATAGCTCCCCTTATTTTTACCATTCTTGCACACTTTCATGGGTGTTTAGAGATTGCAATCGCACCAAACTTTAAAATTTTTACTACATTATTTTGATATCATATTGATGGAGGGGAAGAAACTTGCAATCTATGAGAATTTTAAAAAAATGATAAAAATGAGGGATACATTGGCACCATGAGCGCTCAATCCACATTTATAGCCTCTAAGGCCTTGGAACTAGCCGTTGCTACAGTATTTTTTTGATTTTGAATTTTGTTAAACGAGTAAGATTACCCAAACTTCTTGCTTAAATATTTTGTCCACTTGTGAGTGGTAAAAATATGTAAGGTGTTCTCACCATTTATCCCAAAAAATTCTTATTCCAAACCAAACTAAAGAATAAGAATTGACGGGTTTCTATAAAATTGGATTTTATATTTTTATGTTATGAAACAAATATAAAAAAGTAAAAAAAAATAGGATTCCACAATATTCAATGACAACATAAAATTATCCTTAAATTTTTTATAGATTAAAAAGAAATCCATAAAAAACATCTTTTTTCTAATCCTATTCTTGCTCACTATTGAACCAAACACCCCTAAAAACACATAACCCTCCAATACATCCTCATTGGCAAGATCAATAGACCTAATTACTCCAACCCAACACCTCGACCACCGACCTACTCTTCACCTTCTCTTACTAATTAAAAAATCTCTGCATCCTTCACAACCCATAATTCTTCCTCACCATAAACTCATCATTCTCCTTTTCCTTCTCAAAATCACAAAACAAATAATCTAACTTCACGCTTTATAAAATCAATTTTTTCTCATTACCAATATAATGAGGTACGCATCAAAATCAATCTCTCTTTTTGGACTCATAATATTTTACATTGATAGTGGTTACTTCTTCAAGTTTTGCAGTAATCGGAATGGATCAATATCATTCCTTCAAGTTTGGGAAAAGAAAACATAAGATAAAATATTAAATTTTAAGATAAATATACAAAACCTATGTGAGGTATCGCATCCTCGATCGAACCTCATGGTGCTGCTCCTGGCCATAACTGAACTTGTAACAAAACTCAAAAAGAGAGTATGAGGAAGAAGATGAACAGGGACTGGGAATTAAGACTGAAATTGAGAAGAATGAAGACAGGAGTTGAATTTGAGGGGAGAACAGAAATTAGAGTTGAGAGGAAGAACAGAATTCTTATTCATTCATGATTTGTTCACTGACTTCAATCTCCTATTTATACAGAAATACAATTCTCTTCTCAAAAGCACAATCGACAGGAAACAAGCACTGTTTGTGCACGTGCACACACTAACAGCAAAAACAGAAATTGTAAAATAGTTGGGAAACAGTTAATATTGTTGCAGAGCTGCTGAGCTAGACATTAATACTTTCTAATAGCCCTCCAATCTTCTAAGGACTTGCATAACAGACCTTCACTTGCGTATCAGTCCATATCAGTAGCTGACATGTTGACATCGCACAGCAGCTCACCAGGAATGGTTCCTAACAATCCCCTCCCCCTAACTTTGACCTTGTCTCAAGGTCAAAAGCAGGAAGCATTTTAACCAAATCCCAATAAGATTCATGAGCACCTTGCCGACAGCATTAACAGCTCCAGTGCTGCTAGGAATGATGTTGAAAGTGGCAGCTCTTCGACCCCTCCAGTCCTTGGCAGAGGAACCATCAACAGTTTCCTGAGTGGCAGTGATTGAATGAACGGTGGTCATCAGTCCTTCAATGATGCCAAATATGTCATTGATAACCTTAGCAAGGGAAACCAAGCAGTTGGTGGTGCAGCTAGCATTAGAAACAAAATCAATGTCAGGTTTGTATGACTTCTCATTTACACCAACAACAAACATTGGGGCATCCTTGCTTAGTGAAGAGAGGATAACTTTCTTGGCACCACCCTGAAGGTGAGTTGCAGCCTTATCCTTGTCAGTAAAGATACTAGTGGGCTCGATAATGTACTCGGCTCCAGTCTCAGCCCAAGGAATCTCCTCAGGGTTCCTGCAGCAAAAATCTAAAACCTGTTTCTCACCAAAGAGAAGGGTCTTAGAATCATTCACCTTCTCAAGTTTATCTAGAACGGCTTTAGTCACATCGCCCTTCTGCACAAAAATCTCATCTAAAGTCATCTAAGGCACATAGGCACGAACCACATCAAGAATATAGGCTTTGATTTGCTCTTTGGGGTTCTGCAACCTGTAGAATGCATCATCAACATTTTTCTTAACAACTCGAAACTGAATCGAACAGACGAGCTGTACGAAAACATTATCCTTTGTCTTTGTTTCACAGCGAACATCAAATTGTTGGACACGTAAAGATAGATATCCAGCTACTTGTTGGCCAAAAATCCATGGCAAGAAGTGGCATCCAGGCTCAAGAACATCATCAAACTTCCCAAAAGTTTCTCTGATTGTAACAGTTGATTGGTCAACCTTCAAACAACACAATACCTGCCCCCATTGCACCTGATGACACAAACAAGGTAGTTTCAGTTCCAGTTCTTCCCACCACAATCTTCTTCCTGGCAGGAACCTGAGGTGATTCAACAAGAGGATTTGAGCTAGCATCAGCGTATGCCACAAGACCACCAACCTTTTCCTCGAGCTCGGCCCTCGAGATCCCCTCAGGAGGCACCGCTGAAAAAACTTGAGCCTTCGGCGATCCGTTCAAAGCATACAACTTCGTCGTCTTAGAAATCTTCTTCTTGCTTGAGATTGGCCATGGTGGGTTCTTGAGCTTTGGCTTTCTCTTACTTGAGATTGGCCATAGCGGTTTCTTCTTCTTCTCAAGATTATTCTTCTCTTTCTCCATTTTCACACCAAAATGTCCAATACCCACATTTTCTTTATTCTTAAAATTCACAAGCCCATCTTTTTCTTCCCTTCTCTTTTCAAAATTATCCTTCTCCTTTACAATTTTCGCCCCAAGATTTTCAACAACCGCATTCTCTTTCTTCTTGAAAGTCTTCAAATTTCCAAGCCTGATGAGAGAATTCATTTTCTTAATCTGGATGTCATACATCTTCTTCACTGCTGCTTTGGCCTTATTCTTGTCTGCTCGGATATCAACAATGACGACAAGGATATTGTTGTCCTCAATCTTCTTCATAGCAGACTCAGAAGTTAAAGGGTACTTGAGAATTTGATAATGGTCAAGCTTATTTCTCGGAGGTACGCTAATTCTAGGGTACTTGGGGTTTCTGTCTTTCTTCAACGTTTTGGGGTGGTGAAATGTCACAGATGTGCGGATCTTCTTTGTTTTCTTCTTTATGCTTGAAGCTCTAGCCTTCACAGCTTTAGCAACTTTTACAGGCTGTGCCTTTGCGTCAATTTTTTTGTTGGTAGCAAAACTATGAACTGACTGGGATTCTCCACTGAAATCAACATCAAGAACCACATGCTTCTTGTTCTGGACATCATCAGCTTGATCATTCGCAAGGAGTTGAGCACGAAAGCTTCTGGTAATTGGATGCGAAATTGGATGCAATGGCTTCCCTTCGACGATGGCAGGACGAGTGCCGACGACATTTCATATGTCTCTGAGGGGTCGGTGATTCTTGTCATCTTGTGAGGTATCGAATCCTCGATCGAACCTCATGGTGCTGCTTCTGGCCATAGCTGAACCTGTAACAAAACTCAAGAAGAGAGTATGAGGAAGAAGATGAACATGGACTGGGAATTGAGACTGAAATTGAGAAGAATGAAGACAAGAGTTGAATTTGAGGGGAGAACAGAAATTAGAGTTGAGAGGAAGAACAGAATTCTTATTCATTCATGATTTGTTCACTGACTTCAATCTCCTATTTATACAGAAATACAATTCTCTTCTCAAAAGCACAATCGACAGGAAACAAGCACTGTCTGTGCACGTGCACACACTAACAGCAAAAACAGAAATTGTAAAACAGTTGGGAAACAGTTAATATTGTTGCAGAGCTGCTGAGCTGGACATTAATACTTTCTAATAGCCCTCCAATCTTCTAAGGACTTGCATAACAGACCTTCACTTGCATATCAGTCCATATCAGTAGCTGACATGTTGACATCGCACAGCAGCTCACCAGGAATGGTTCCTAACAACCTAAAGATGAGATTTTGAGAAATATCCTAATGGTTCCGTCTCTGAAGGCTTTGGCAACGCAGAGTACTCATCTTGATTCCTTCCCTCTCGAGATCCGCTCCCAAAACTAGATGCAAGTTCTTAACTGTCCTTTTATTTTGTGGTATTGAGAAAAGTCATTCTTTTTAGGGAACTCATGTTTTTTTTTGACATTTTTCAATTGTTTATGCTTTTGAATGTTCACCAATTTTTCTCTATATGCAAAGGAGAGATATCAAATATAGTAAGGCACTAGAGGGGTATATTACATATAGTAAGGCATAATCTACATTATTCCTAATTATTTGATAGTGCATGTTTTTCCTTATTCTACCTACTAGACTTTCTATATTAAGTCTTCTATCATTTATAAATAAATATACTCGTGCTTCAGCAAATCATCAATAAAGAGAAATTTCTTTTCTTCTTAGGGGGTGTGGTTGCACAATTTTATAGAAAAGTTTTCTTAAAATGTCTAACAATGGCAATTCTGAAATTAAAAATTTTCTGTAGGATTCTGTAAACTGTTTGGTTCAAAAAAATTTACATAAATATTTTCTGTAAAGTACAAAAAAATACCAAAATTTACAAAAATCAATTTCCTCTCAAAATGGGTGAAAATCACCCAGAAATCTGACATCACATTAATACTTTTCTATAAAATTGATATTTTTTAATAACTTTAGGGGGGTGTTTGGTTCAATTTCTACAAATTATAGGAAATCTTGCTATTTCTATAAAGTTATGGGTCATTTTCTTATTTTAAACCAAACAAGCAAAGTAAAAAACAAGAAAATTGGTACTTTTTGACTTCTCAAAACTTTTCCTATAATTTTTAAAAAATACAAGAAAATCATATTTTGGGTGGAAAAACATTTCCTATAATTTGTAGAAATTGAACCAAACACCCCCTTAACATCAACAAAAACCCTTATAGGAGAGAAATTGAGCCAATAAACTTAAACTCACAACTTTCTATTTAACCCCATCCCTCTTTGCTAGCTCTTCCAATCTAGAAGCATATTCATAAATGAATCTCCAATAAGAACTTCTCTCATTTTAAAGATCACATACTTACACAAAGAATTATACACAAAAGAATTTATATTATAAACCAACTTCAATTTAAATCTTATTGAACCGCCTAAATCTATGCTCTCTCCTCTTCATCCCCGGAACTTTCCTAGCCACAGCCTGCCATATCATCTGAACAGCATCATCCTTAACAGAAGAAAACCTATACTCAAAATACCCCTCAACCTCCTTCAACCTCTCCCACATACTACTCCACTCCTCTTTACTCACTCCTTTTATCCTTTCAAACAAATAATCCTTTTTTATTGCATCAGAAGACCGAACGAAGATGCAAAATTGTGAGTAGTCGAGGATGTCTTCGTAGGGGAGCTCGATGTGGTCACTGACAATGACAGGGACACAGTGGCTTGTGATGGCGTCAAAGAGGCGGTTAGAAGAAGGAGTATCACCCGCGATGTGGAGGCAGAATTTGGAGGACCGCATTCCTTTAGTGGCTTCGGCGATGCCTCTGTGCTTGATTGAACCAAAGGAGAAGTGGACATTTGGTTTGTTTCGGAGTAGGTTATATAGCTTCCGACGGATGATTCCTCCCTGTGACAGATATGTTAGGATTTTATGTATGTTGATATATAAGTTGTCTGTGTATGTATAACATCAATCAAAGATTAGGAAAATATGGTAGATTTTACATACAAATGTATAGCATGAGTTCATATACCTTGCCAATTTCTGAACTCAATGATGAGTTGAGAATGTGATATGTTACCAACAAAAGGTTTACCAAGCTATATGATATATGTCCATGTTAGAAATAAAATAATAAGCCTCACTATAACTTCGGAGTAATTATATGGACTTTAAGATGGTATCAAAGCAATTCAAGTTCAAATCCCACCATCAATGAATTTGAAGCAATTTTTTTAAGAAGTGTTACCTCTACATGAGTCCAGGTTTCACATGAAAAGGGGTAGTCAATTTGTAGGAGCATGTTAGAACAACTATGAAGTTTTGGTGCAGTGATAGTGATATTAAGAGTCAAAAACAAGAGTTTATGTATGTTACAAGGTTCTAGATATGTTTTTAAACTAAGATCACAAGTTATTTAGAAGATGATGAAAATTTGGTTATTTTTTTAGGATTTTGAGTAGTGACTTCTGTCTATCAATTTGATGATATGCATAAAGCATTTGATATGTTACTAACACAATTTGTCATTTTTCAAGTGAGGAAAATATTCATCTTTTAGTGAGTAGTATGATGTTTATCCAATAGGAAGTTAAATCGCCAAGCCTGAGTTGAGAAACAATCAAATTTTTAATTATACAATTCTCGGGTAAAAGAGCATTAAACAGATTAGGTGCAACAATTGACACCAATGAATTTGAGATCTCTATTATACATTGTAAATTCTTGCATAGCAGATGCCGGGATCTGTAATTAATTATAATCATATCATAAAATGATATTAGAGCAAGAAATTCAACCTCAAGCTTGAAGCTGAAGATGTGCTAACTTTCATCGCTCATTAGATAAATATTATATAAGTTAATCGACAGGTTTTATGAGCATTGACATGTTGTAATATACATGCATAACATTGTTTTACATGATTAAGGTAATGTACTTTTTAGGTTTCCAAGCCATTGACGAGGGATCTGCCTGTCAAATTAATAATGCATCAAGCATATGATTATAACCATTAATTTATCAATGTTCAAGTGATGAAAATATGTATTTTGTCGGGTAGTGATGCTAGTCCAAAAGAAGGTTAAAAATCTTCAACCCTAAGCTATAACAAATGATCTCTATATTCCATCACATTCAAAGTTCAGTCATTGTTTTTTTTTTCATTGACCAAAAAAAAAACAATGACTGAACTTTGAATGTGATGGAATATAGAGATCATTTGCAAATCTCACAGGTGAAAGATTAACCAGAATTGGTCTTATAATGATTTCTTCCATTTCTTCTTTAATGTGACATGAATGACAAAATTGCAAAGAAATGAATATACCTGTTTACTAGAAGGCTGTAAATTTACCAAAGCATAAAATAGAACTATAATTGAAATCTTCATATCTTATAACCAAAACATTGCATTTAATACTAAAACAGATGTACCAAAAACTCTATTAGTAAAACAATAGTAAAATTTGTGTCATAGATAACTATAATGATATGTAACAGAACTAGGAAAAACTCTACGTAGACAGAGGAATACTGAATCATTTAAGCGTTTAAGTCTCTTCATTAATTGAAATTATGAACAGGACTGCATGACTATGTACGTTGACAGATTTTTGTCATACTTATCTTCCCCTAAATTTAGTTTGTCATCATTGCTTACTGTAGTTTAGTCCATGGCATTGTTCTACCAGGTTAAACAGTTTAACTTGTCCACTAAATTTTGGCAGAAGGAAATATAGAAAAGCCTAACAGTAAATCTTCCCATATGTTATTTGAATTCCATAATTATAGCCCATAGAGTTCTTTCTTCTTTTAATGCCAATTTGCATATAAGAGGAGAATAAATCAGTAATACTATTGTGCATTCATCTAAAACAATGAATCAATAATCAAATTGGCAAAAACTGCATAAACTTCCAAAAGGATAAATATCAGACAGAAGGTCAACAAAAGAATAAGAACTTACAGCTTTCCTGAATATAGCTCCCTGAAAATACATCAACGTTGGACGAGCATCAAAACCTGAAGAGTCATTATCAAAAGTCGCCACCAAATGTTTATAAGGAGCAATCACATCTTTATCAATGTTCGCTATAGCTTGCAAATACCGTCCAAAATCAGCAAGAATAAACGTTGCAGATGACACCTTTGCCCTTACATACGACATACTATTGGGGTGATGAGCAACTATAACATGATCATGTCCTCCTGATTTCATCCATTCCCTTCTCCCTTTCAGAAACTTCACTAATTTCTCTTGCAATACCTTGTCCCTATTTGTATTTTTTGCCTTCAAGGGGCGATTGTAGCTTAACGAAGAAAAAAAGGGTACAAAAATAACATCTGCCTCAGTTGAGTTAGTAACTCTTACAGCATTGCATAGGCTATTTCGATCATGAAATCTTGAAGACAAGAGGTCGAGTGTGAGCCAATATTCGACGCTGTGTTGGATATTAAGACCCCCGGGATAAATTAGAGTTTGATTTCTGATATCTGGCCATATTTTATTACCCTGAGACTCCCAATCAAGAAGACTGAAATGGAATTCAGGCGGCAAATCGTACATAAACACCTTCAATAGAGCTCTTCTTGGATCACAACTCTTTGTTTCTTGTATTCCTATGTCATTATTGTTCGATAAGTGAGAAGGTGCTAAGAAATCTTTGTCTTTACTTTCGGGAAAATATTGATCCTCAGATACAAACACAAGTTTTTCATCTATTGAAAAACTATGGTCGACAAAATTAGGATGAGATGCTGCATTTAGTAAGTTGAACCATGTGAAAAATGCTCCGATTGTTGCAATGAAGAAGAGAAATGGGAGGGGCTTTCGACATAAAAGACTACAAGCTTGTATACTTTTGTCACCCATGTACTAAAGCTCGTCGTTTCTTCAGAGAATGTCAGCACCAGAAAATATTGTTTTTGAAGAAACTGCAATAAGGGGGGAAAAAGAGCATTAGAGGACTGAGAGGACTTTTCTAATCAATAGAAAACAACAGTAAATACAAAAAATTATTGAAATAAGAAACTGAGGACTGTAATTGATGAAAAGAACAGATATGAAGACTACAAATTTAGAAACTTATTCCAATAGACAAGGCATCTCTGGTTGTTGGAGATTTTGCCTTAGAAGACAGTGGAGGAGATCACAGATATTTCCAGTAGAACCAACCAGTTTCAGGTCTCCGTCCACAAATCTTAATCTATCACCTGACCTTGGTCGATAACAGTAGAAGGCCTGAAACCAAACAACCATGTCTCTAGCCTACCTTCTCTATGTGCGCGATGGTGGAAGCGTGCGCACAAGGCAAACGAGTCGTCGAGCAATGAGAGGAGAACTAACGAGCACAATTCACAAAGAGAACGACCAAAATCACACACAAACACAGTGATTTACGTGGTTTGGCAAATTACCTACATTCACTCGGAGAGGATGGAGAGATTTTACTATATAGAGGAGAAAACAACGGGTTACAACTCTCACAAATACTCAAAATAACCCTAACCAAAGATCTCTCACTCCCTCACAATATTCTCCTTATCAAAGTGCTCAAACAAATCCAAATTCTCTGATAAAACCTCCTCCTTAACCCTAAAAACGTACCTTCAAATATATATACACAAACCCAAACAGATTAGAAAATAAGTTAGTGGCCTAATTACCCGATATCAGTCGACTGATCAATGTGCATCGGTCGATTGATAAGGGTTCATCAGTCGACCGATCAGAACATCAATTTTGGACCCTGTAACGTGCATGTTGTCGGTCAAATGATCATGTTCGGTCAGTCGACCGACCCGAGACTTTCCTATAGCTACTGATTTTGCACGTTTTTAAACACTTTGAACAATTCGTCGCTGTTTTCTACAATTCTCCACCTCGGCGTAGTGTTCCCAAACTAAACCGACACCAACATGAGCACTAATGCGTCGTTTCTCCAAATCCGTCTGCACCAATGTGGTTGCCTACGTACCCCCTCTCCCATGGGATCAAGCCGCCTGTAGTTCATCTAAATTGCCTCGAAAGGTCTCAACAAGCACAAATCCGTAACAAGCTTCTACAATAATCGAACTTGTTACTCGGGACCACCTTCGTGAGCATATCTGTTGGATTATCTTTTGTGTGGATCTTCACAAGCTTCACATTCCCATCTTCAAGAACATCCTGAACAAAATGATAACGAACATCAATATGCTTCGTCCTCGCATGGAAAACCTAATTCTTCGCCTAATAGATAGCACTCATGCTATCACAATGAATGATGACGGATCGCTGCGAAACACCAAGATCTTCCAAAAATCCTCAAAACCAATTTGCCTTCTTAACAGCCTCTGTAATCGCCATATATTCTGCCTCCGTTGTCGACAAAGCCACCGTAGACTGCAATGTGCATCTGCAACACACCGACGCACAGGTTAAAGTGAACACATATCCCGTCGTCGACCGGCGTTTATCCAAATCTCCAGCATAGTCTGAATCAACATAACCAATACACGGCTACCCACTACTAGTGTCCCACTCAAACACCAAACCAACATTGAGAGTACCTCAAAATCTTCCTCACAGCATCCCAATGACCCGGACCTGGATTGTGCATGTATCATGAAACCATGCTAACTTCCAGTGATAAATCCGGCCTCGTACATACCATGGCATACATTAAACTTTCCACTACGCTCAAATATGGAGTCTTCGACATCAACTCTATATCTTCAACTGTCTTTGGTGAAAGGTCAGCTAAAAGTTTCAAATGGGCTCCCAAAGGTACACTGACTGTCTTTGTCTCCATACTCACATTGAACTATTATAGCACCTTCTTCAAATAAGTCATCTGTGTCAAACATATTCTGCTCTTATCTCTGTCTCTGCCGATCTCCATCCCCAACATGAGCTTTGCTTCACCTAAATCATTTATCTCAAACTCGCTCGAAAGTTGTATCTTCAACTCATCTATGGCGGATCTGGAAATAGAAACAACCAACATATCATCAACATAAAGTAATAAATAAATGTACACACCTCTATGCAACTTGCGATAGTACACGTAAGGATCAAACAAGCTCCTAATATACGGATGGCCGAGCATAAACCCATCGAACCGCTTATACCATAGTCTCGAAGATTGCTTCAACTCGTATAGCGATTTTTTTAAAATACACACCAATTATTCCTTTCTTGCAGCTCAAAACCCTAATGGCTGAGTCATATAAAATTTTTCATCAAGATCACCATGAAGAAAAACTATTTTCACATCCAAATGATCTAATTACAAACCATACTGTGCTACCAAAGCTAGCAAGATCCGAATTGAAGAGTGCTTCACCATTGAAGAGAAAACCTCGTTATAGTCAATGTTTTCTTCCTGTACATAACCTTTCGCTACCAACCTAGCTTTGAACCTCACTGGAGTGCGCTGAATGCCCTCCTTCTTGGTATACACCCATTTACAATCAATTGCCTTCCATCTCTTTGGAAGCTCGACAAGCTCCCATGTATCGCTCTTCTGAAAGGACTCCATCTCCTCCTGCATAGCTTCCTGCCACAAATCAACCTCTGAACTATGCTCAGCCTTTCTGAATGTAGTAGGAACCAACTCATTGACGTTGTCCACCATAAGTGCATATGCAACCACTATATCTGTATACCTCGCTTGCAACCATATGTCTCTCCTGGGTCTCCGTACTGCAATAGAATTCTGAACCTTAGCCATCGGTTCTTGATCCTGCTCTGCTGAACCTGTATCCCCCAAATATCATTGTGCTCACCTAGAGTCACCTCAGTCGGTACTCTAATGGATACAGTTCCATCTGGACATTGTGGAGCTGCATCAATCTCCACCATTTGCAACTTCTTCTCTGTCGAGGTGCTCTCCACCTAGTGAGAGCTGGAAGGCTTCAAGAGAGAACTCTCATCAAAATTGACGTCTCTACTTAGCACAAACTTCTTATCAACTGGATCTCAAAGCTTGTATTCTTTAACACCACACTTGAATCCCACAAATATGACCTTCCTAGCTTGAGATTCTAATTTATCAGTCTTCACATGATAAAATGCAGGACACCTAAAACCTTAAGCTGATTATAGTCGTGTGCTGGTTCTCCCGACCACATCTTCATAGGAGTTTTCCCCTCTATAGGTAGCCTATTAATGAGGTGACTCGCATATGAAAGTACCTCAGCCAAAAATATCTTCTCCAAATCACTGTGCGATAACAAATATTGGATCTTTTCTATTAAAGACCGATTCAACCTCTGTGTCACACCATTCTACTACAGCGTATGACTAACTGTTAAGTGTCTCTCTATGCCCTCATCTCGACATAGATGCTGAAAGGGATCTGAAGTATACTCTCCACTATTATCGGCTCTCAACGTCTTGATCTTTCTCCCTGTCTGTAGTTTCAATCTTCTCTTTTACTCCATAAATATCTCTAGGACTTCACTTTTCTTTGCCATGGTGTACACCCAACAATGCCCAGAATAATCATCCACAAATATGACGAACTAATATCGACCACCAAGTGATGTCGTCTTGGTGGGATCCCAAACATCCGTGTGCACGTAGTCCAATATGACTCTCATCCTATGAACGGCTATCCCGAACTTCACTTTAGTCTTCTTTCTAAGAATACAGTGCTCACAGAATTCAATCTTCTCACTCTTGGCTCCCTTCAATAACCCCTGCTTGCACAATACCTACAATGATATTTTTCCTGTGTGTCCCAATCTATAGTACCAAAGTCTGCTCACATCCGCCTCTGAAATTGCTGAAGCTACCTGGCCAATCTCTGTGCTTTTCTTCAGATAATAAAGATTTTTACTGTAGACCGCCTTCATCAATACCAAAGATCCCTTAATAACTTTTTTTCAGCGTTATCAAAAGTCACCTTGAACCCCTTTGCCTCTAAAGCTTCAACATAAATAAGATTCTTCTTCAGCTGAGAAACAAATCTCACTTCATTCAACTCTCGAACAACTCCATTATGCATCTGAATCCTGAAGGTACATATCCCACGAATGCCATAGGACTGATCGTTTCCCATGACCACACCCCCATTGAGCTTCTCGAAAGATACAAATCAATCTCTCTGAGGAGTCACATGATAAGTAGCACTAGAACCCATCATCCAATCTGATGCATCAGCATGGTTAACCTCTAGAGTAATCAATAAAAAAAAGTATGAATCATTTGAATCATCACCATCTTTAGCAACATTCACCTCGCTGGCCTTCGACCCCTTCTTCTTGTTATTCTCCTTCTCTTTGAGCTTCGGGCAATCTCTCTTCCAATGTCCTTGTTTTTTACAAAAGACACACTAGTTCTTTGAAATCTGATAGTGGCCTCTAGACTTTGACCTGCCTTGATTACCACTTCTCGAATAGATACTCATTCATCTCGTCGACAAGACCTCTCCTGAAGTGCTAGCTCTGGAAGACTCTTTATCCTTCCTCCTCAAATAAAAATTCGTTAATAAATTAGTCACTTCACTATAGGTGATGGAAGATCTATTATTCAACAATGTGAGCACGAAGGTATCATACTCCTCATCTGGTAATGAGTCTAACAAAATAATCATCTTGTACTCATCTGATATCTTCTCATCCACATTTGCCAAGTCTGACAATAACTTTGTATACTTGTTCACATGATCTGCAAGTGAGGTACCCCTTGATATATGGAATCTGAATAATTTTCATAGCAAGTACAACCGATTCTCAACACTCTTCGTAAGATACTTTTTGTTGAGAATCTCCCACATCTTCATCACAGACGTCATACCGATAACATCGTACTTCAACTCTTGTTCCAAATAAGATCTAATCACCCCACAAACATTCCAATTCATCATGTTCTATATTGCCTCATCATACTTCGGTGGCCTCTCATGAGTCATAATAGTCTCTTTCAAATTTTGAGTATTCAATGCATCTTGCACATCACTCATCCACAACCCAAAGTTGATCTTGCCGTCATACTTCACAACACTAATCTTTGTATTCTGAAGTACAACCTGAACTGTACTCATCGTAGCTTGCTACTTTCACCACTATCTCCTACCATTGCTTGCAAACTCCGAATTGTAGAGGAAAGATTCGAACTTGATAGATTTGTGAAATTACCTGACTTGAACCCTAGATTGGATTCCAAACGAACTTCCAACCACACGAGGAAGGAGAGATCTCAACGGCAACTCCGCAACGTTATCTCCACCGAAGCCTAAAACTCCATGATCCAAGCTTCCAACACCGAATTTCCTCAACCTAAAATAAACCCTAGGTCTGAAATCCTAGAGCTCTGATACCAATTGTTGCGTGATGGCAGAAGCGTGCGCACAAACCAAACAAGTCGTCGAGCAATGAGAGAACAACTAACGAGCACAATTCACAAAGAGAACGACCAAAATCACACACAAATACAAAGATTACATGGTTCGGCAAATTGCCTACGTCCACGGGGAGAGCATGGAAAGATTTCATTATATAGAGGAGAAACAATGAGTTACAACTCTCATAAATACACAAAAAAACCCTAACCAAAGATCTCTCACTCCCTCACAATAATATCCCTCTCTCCTTAACCCTAAAAACGTGCCTTCAAATATATATACACAAACCCAAACAGATTAGGTAACAAGTTAGCGGCCTAATTACCCGATATCAGTCGACTGATGGTCCCTTGTCAGTCGACTGATCAATGTGCATCGGTCGACTGATAATGGTCTATCAGTCGACCGATCAGAACACCAATTTCGGACCCTATAACGTGCACGTTGTCGGTCGACTGATCATGTTCGATTAGTCAACGGACCCAAGACTTTCCTGTAGCTGCTGATTTTACACGTTTTTCAACACTTTGAACAATTCGTCAGTCATTTTCTACACCCTAGTTTAAATGGAATACGAACTTCTTTCTCATGATAAGACTTAACTTCCAATCATGATAAAATTTTAATATTGTAGACTACATGAAATTACAAAGAATCAGAGATACAATCCTAATATGTTTTAGTGCACAAGCAGCAAAACGATAAGCAAAAGACTTATCAGGATAAACTTTGAAGTTACAATTGGCAAAAATAATAACGAGGAATTTCACCTTTTAAAGGATTATTTTAAAGTTGCTAACGAAATTGATTCTGAATTTGATGACATGAACAAGTGCTTTAGCAGATTTTAAAAAAAAACTAACGACTACAAATTATAATAGCGTAAAGTATGACAAAGAGCTACTCCAATTCATAGCTGAGTGGGGAAAGAAAATCAAATAGAAATAGAGTAAAACAAAAATCTGATAAATGTTTGTATGAATTGTATAACACATTTCCTACTGCAATTAATGGTTGAATAAATTTGGGCAATTTTTTGTTATTCTTTCTTGTTTTTGAACTATAATAGAAACGGAAGTCAGTCCTAGTTTGTTAAAAGATCATTATCTACTGCACATAAGCATATGATTTTGATGCATCAATGTTTTTATCTATGTAGACTTACTGAAAAGTCTCTTTATCTATATGAAAATTAAAACTTTTAATATAGTTAATGTGTCCATTACTTCTACAAGTAGATGTACAGCCGTTGGCTTTACAATGAAAGTTAAATAAACTGAAAACACAGTATGTCTAAGTAATAAAAAGAATAAATATTTGGCATAAGAAAAACAAAGAAATTGATGAATTTCAAATTTTCTTTCTTTCTCATCAACTAAAGGTATCATAATGGTATAACTAACGACAGTAGATCCCATTTGTTATTTACAAAATAATGACTATGTTCAGAGCGATAATTAGCAAAATTATCAAGAAGAAAAGAAGAAACTATTTCAGAAAACGGCAAAAATGAATAAGATGAGAAAAGAAGAAAAAAAAATTGCTGCACAAGAAAAAAAATAAATGACAGTGAAAATTATGTGAATTATGTGAAAATAAGAGAAAGAAGAAGAGATTCACCGTGAAAATTCGTTAGACGCGTTTGTGTGGAGAAAAAGAAGGAGAAGTGAAGAAGTAGTCAGAATAAATTGAATGGTCATCATTATTGGATGTAGAAATTTGATAATTCAATTCCAGTGCAACCAAGAGTTATACAAAGCTGTCTAAGCTTTTTAAATTATATAATGTAATTAGTAGAAAGAAAGTTAGTGATTAATTGAAAATTGACTATTTTGTCCAAGCACATATACACTGATGCCAGTATATATCTCTGTACGTAGTCAATGGTTTGACAAATAGAATTTATGAATACCAATTTGTAGTTGATTTGTTAGAAATCTTTCAGGCCCACTAAAACTACAAACAAAAAATTATTAAATTAAGAAGGAAAAGGAGAGAACAAAACCCAATAAAAGCTCTAAGTGCTATTAATCTAATTTAATGTCGTCACTTATGAGAAAATTACTTCTACATGATTTACAGAAAAAATTCTTATCTCAAACTTAAAAGTAGAATTCGCAATTAAAATCACGGGTGTTAAAAAATAAAACATTGAAGATAATTTCTTAAAATTTTCCATTAAACTAAATGACAAGAGCAAATCTTTGATAAAACAAAAACATGGGCAAATTTCTACAGTGAGATATTATTTTAAATTCTAAACCCTCCATAACCCATCAAAATATATTACATGCAGAGCCCTAAGTAACAGCTTTGAGGAATACATGCACTGAAAAAAAATATCATGGAATTAAAACATAAACGTAGTAATTTTCAATAAACCCATGAAGGGAAAAACATCAAAAGTTGTTTTGAAGTGAAAACCAGAATCAACAATTATGTATAAATATCATAATTTAACAAATAAAGAAACTTGATTATCAATCAACATAAAAAAGCAAAACCGATGAAATAAGGTTTTAATTAAAATGATTCGTACCTTGAAGTATCTAGACACCTCTGTTCTCTTCTTCCTTCTACTTTCAAGAGGCCCAAGCGGGTATAAAAGTATAATTTATTGTTGAAGGTCATCTGAAGAGAACTTAAAAGTTAAATACAAATTTTGATTTTTGTTTTAATATTTTCAGCCTTGCAACCGGCAATGACCGGTTTGGATTATTCTCAAAGGCATAATAGACGTGCTTAGCAGGTCAGCGGCTGTGAATTTATTCATAAGCGGAATTCGTGATAAATACAATTTACTATTTAAGATAACTCTTAATCCTAGGTGTAACAGTAGTCTGTTGTGCTTTTGATTTTATAATTGTTGGACATATTAGAAACGGATATCAGATCAAAACAAGGCTCTGATGTGAAACTAATTATCAGAATCTGGGGTTACTTTTCCTTGTTTTTTTTTACTCTCCAAAATTTTCAGGAGGTAATTCAGTGTAGATTATAGCAAATTTCATCTACTTTTAACTTTCAATCGAAGCAAATACAGAAATCGGACAAATTTTCAAAACCAACCCATTTGATGTTTTAATTGCAAAAAACGATCTGTTTCCAATTTATTTAGAAAAACCGACCTGGTTTCAGCACTGTCGCTGAAACCAGGTCGGTTTTTCTAAAAAACTTTACGAAACTTCACGGGAGTTCAAATCCCGTGAAGTTTAGTACTCTTTTAAACTTCACGGGAGTTGAACTCCCGTGAAATTTATTTCCCTCAATAAACTCCACGGGAGTTCAACTCCCGTGGAGTTGTAGGGTAAAATCCCCAGCGAGTAGAAGCGCCAGACCCCTCCCCACCTCAGTTCTCTCTCCCCGCAACCGCCCCCAAACCCTAACTTCTCTCCCGTCCCAACCGCCACCGTCCACGTCATTTTCGACCCCAGCCCCCCAAATCTGACCACCGACCCTTGATTCTGACCGCCAGAACCCCTTTCCGACCGCCGGCCCTTGATTCCGACCGTCGGAACCGCCTACTTCGCTGGATTTCGACAGTTTGAGGGTAAATTCCTCCCAAAATTAGATTTTCTCTTAATTTCTTGTATTTTCTCGCTATTTAATGGTGATTACATGAAAAAAATTATATTTTAGAATTTAATTGTGAAATTTTTATGAATTATGTGAAGAAAACTTAAATAATTTTGTCGATTTAGAGGGTAAATTATCAATAATGTAAAAAATAGTGTTACTACATATGTATGACATCTAATTTATTTTAAAAAAATAGTGTTATCAATACTTTTGTCGATTTTAGAATTTCATTGTGAATAAGTTATGAAATTATAAAAAATCTAAAAATTAGTGTTATATGACAGCAATTAGATTTGAGAATTTAATTGTGAATTTTATGAATTATGTGAAGAAAACTTAAATTATTTTGTCGATTTAGAGGGTAAATTATCAATAATGTAAAAAATAGTGTTACTACATATGTATGACATCGGTATATGAATTTGTAAAAAATTATGGTTCCCTAAAATTGATATAGGATTTAATTTTAAGTAACAATAAATTTTTAAAGTCTTTTCGTGTAATATTGATCTTGAATGTTTTACTCTTCAGAGGTAATGATGAACGATCGAATCGTAATTTTGTGTTCGTATGATGGGAAGATTAAATACCTTGAAAATAATATGCTCGTTTATGAAGGAGGTACGACGAGACCATTGTTTATAACAAAATCGTGTACTTTCGATGAGTTGGTTAATGAATTGCACAAACTTACATTAACCAACTCACGTGAGTATCACCTTAATGTTATTTGCAATTATCCTATTGTGGAGAACAGGACAAGCGGCATTCAAATATCAAGTGATTATGATATGAGTCTCATTGGAGTCTTACATGACGAGAAGCGTTCGATTGAATTGTTCATTGAAAAACATCAAAGGAATTTGGGCAAATCGTTGAATTATGATGGAATGTATTTCCGCATGTTGGAGGACCCTGATGTTGATTCCGTTGGCTTTTTATATCCTCAACAAGATGAAGGTTGGACTCAATCACAATATATGAGCGGTCCTTCGCTTGTGGGCACTTCGAATGCGGTCGATACTAACACGGGAGTTCAAGAAGATAATGCAAGTGTTGAATCTGAGAATGATGATGAAGAGGAGGGCTTACAAATTAATAGCATGACCTTGATAGATCGTGATGAAGGGGACAACCACCACATTGACGGGTGTTATGCTAATAATGAGTATGTTGTCTTAGAGGATCCGCCGCCCGATGAACTTCAAGGAGAAGAATGGATCGATAACTCCGTGATGGAAAGTGTTCCTATTGGCACTAATAGCGGTCATGATACACAGGGCGAGGACTTCTCATTCGTGAAGGGAGATCTATATGAGAGCAAGGAGAAATTGATCCATGCGCTTCGCTCGTACGCCATTGCAAAAAATGTCAAGTTTAGGCCAACAAAAAATAATACTACAAGCTATAATGCGGTTTGTTTCTATCGCAAAGATGGCGATGATGAAGATATTGGTGGACACCACGACGGCAATGCGAAATGTCCGTGGAAGCTTGATTCAAGCTCCGGTGTAAGAGTAGGCGGGCAATTCAAAATCACGGCATACAACGGACTCCACACTTGTAGCAATCCTCGATTAGAGATGAATAACAAGAATGCATCCTCTTCCTTCATATATCGATTGATTTTACCGTATTTGAGGGAGGATCTTGATCTAAGGCCGAAAGATATTCGTCTTCTAGTGCAAAAAGCCACCAACTTGGATGTATTATATCACAAGTGTTGGAATGCTAGGAGGAAGGTGATGATAAAAATATTCGGTGATTGGGATAAATCGTATGAGATCTTACCTCATTATCTTGAAGCACTCAAAAGAGAAAATCCAGGAACTGTCTACGAAGTATCTTCGGACCCCGTTGATGGCGGAGATCGGCGGTTCACCGGTGTATTTTGGGCATTTGGGCCATGTATTGAGGGGTTTCGATATTGTCGTCCTCTTCTTAACATTGATGGCACCCACTTATACGGCAAGTATAAAGGCGTTTTGCTTGTTGCCACCGGAGTTGATGTGGATGACGGTTTGTTTCCTTTGGCGTTTGCAGTGGTTGATATTGAAAACACAGAGAATTGGGCGTGGTTTTTTGCATGCATTAGATATCATATCCCTAGTGTGGGTGCGTGGCCGATTACATTCATATTTGATAGGATGAAAGGAATTCCAAGAGCACTCCAACGTCATTTCCCGTCACCACATGCACATCGTTATTGCTTTCGACATATTAGGGACAACTTCAAGAAGAAATTTGGAAACGGTCAGGTTCAAGATCTTCTTTGGCAAGCCGGCTGTGCAACAGAAAAATTAGTTTATGACCAAATACGAGAGAGGATTAAGTTTATCTCCCGAGCTGCACATGATTGGATCAAAACTAGTTTGGGACCACACAATGTTGATAAGTGGGCTTTATGTGAAGATGGCGGGAGACGATTCTGTATGATGACTACGAACGCTTCAGAGAGTTTCAATGGCGTGCTCAGGGGAGCACGCGGTATGCCAATACAGTCACTAGTTGCTAAAACATTCTACAGACTTAATAACTTCTTTCTACGACGTCGCGAACTTGGTGAAAATATCCGCTCGGAGCTCACACCGAAAAATGATGAAATGTTAGCGGCTCGGATTGTACAAGCTCAATCCTTTCATGACGTAAGATACAGTTTTAATGAATGGGAAGTCATTAAGGGAATATCACATAGAGAAAATCGCTCTTATAAAGTTAACATGTTAGTGGATCACTCGTGTACGTGCACTTGCAACGTACCGCAATTACAATATTGTATGGATGACGGTCGTGAAGGAGTTAGGAGGAGAAATAAGTGTAGTAAATGCGATCAACCGGGCCATAACAAAAATAATTGTCCAGTTAGGATTAGGCGTTGATGTTGTAATTTGTAGCGGTTTCGATCTGTGTTTTCTTCTGGTTGTCATTTGTGATTGTTAAATGTTAGGGGTTTCGTGAGTTGTTTGTTTCCGTATCTCATTTGTGATTGTAATTTGTATCGTTTCGTACTATGTTATATAAATTTAATGTTTGGTTTCGAGTTATTGCTTTCTTCACGTTGCGCATTCGTTTGTTGTTTATATATAACTAGATGAGTATTTTAACAGAAAGATCTAACACATTGTGCATTGTCTTCTAATATAATTCTCAGTTATATTCATTATGGATCCGGGACCGATATGCCCCGACGTTTTGACCCTCCAGGCGAGCCACGTTTCAGATTATATTATCTCAGGACAGGTAAAACATCTTTTGTATATGCTAGTTAGCATTGACACTAATTTTAATTTTTCGCATTATACTTAATCAATTCTTTTTGACGTGCAGCCCGTACCTGATATCACCATGATCGAACATTCCCAGAGCCATTCAGCTTGGGTCATTGAGGATGAGAGAGTTCTAGCGCTGATCTCTCAGGCTGGTTTTCGGGAGTGTTCGACGGTTCGATATATCAGGCTAGATTGGCCGCTTATCACTGCTTTGATTGAGAGGTGGAGGCCAGAGACCAACACCTTTAACATGCATATAGGGGAGTGCACCATCACTTTACAGGACGTGGCCGTCATACTTGGGCTCCGGATTGATGGGTCGGCAGTTACGGGCACCGATGATCATAGTTGGCCGGAGGTATGTGCCCGGCTTCTTGGACAGGTTCCGGACTTGAGGAGTGGTGCGATGAAGCTATCGTGGCTTCGTCAGACATTTCAAGGTGACATACCAGAGGATGCCAGTATGGAGACGCTTCAGTTCCATGCTCGTGCTTACATATTGCACATGATAGGGTGCGTGCTTTTTCCTGATGCGAGCAAGACTCTTGTACATGCACGATGGTTGCCGTTGCTAGAGGATTTTGACATATGCGGCGCACTGTCGTGGGGCAGTACGGTGTTGGCATACTTGTATCGAGAACTGAGTAGAGTATCCCTGATGCAGAATAAAGAATTCAAGGGATGCTGCACATTGATACAGATTTGGTCATGGGAGCACATTCATATCGGACGCCCTACTTTACTTATGCACCGTGACCTACAGGGGCAGTTTCCTTTGGCATACA